CCGTGATGTTTTTCTCACTCCTACTAGTGAATCTAATGTAACACACACCCATACAATGTGCACCACCCCGTGATGTTTTTCTCACTCCTACTAGAGAATCTAATGTAACACACACCCATACAATGCGCACCACCCCGTGATGTTTTTCTCACTCCTACTAGTGAATCTAATGTAACACACACCCATACAATGCGCACCACCCCGTGATGTTTTTCTCACTCCTACTAGTGAATGTAATGTAACACACACCCATACAATTCGCACCACACCGTGATGTTTTTCTCACTACTACTAGTGAATCTAATGTAACACACACCCATACAATGCGCACCACCCCGTGATGTTTTTCTCACTCCTACTAGTGAATGTAATGTAACACACACCCATACAATGCGCACCACACCGTGATGTTTTTCTCACTCCTACTAGTGAATGTAATGTAACACACACCCATACAATGCGCACCACCCCCTGATGTTTTTCTCACTCCTACTAGTGAATGTAATGTAACACACACCCATACAATGCGCACCACACCGTGATGTTTTTCTCACTCCTACTAGTGAATCTAATGTAACACACACCCATACAATGCGCACCACCCCGTGATGTTTTTCTCACTCCTACTAGTCAATCTAATGTAACACACACCCATACAATGCGCACCACCCCGTGATGTTTTTCTCACTCCTACTAGTCAATCTAATGTAACACACACCTATACAATGTGCACCACCCCGTGATGTTTTTCTCACTCCTACTAGTGAATGTAATGTAACGCACACCCATACAATGCGCACCACACCGTGATGTTTTTCTCACTCCTACTAGTGAATCTAATGTAACACACAACCATACAATGCGCACCACCCCGTGATGTTTTTCTCACTCCTACTAGTGAATGTAATGTAACACACACCCATACAATGCGCACCACACCGTGATGTTTTTCTCACTCCTACTAGTGAATGTAATGTAACACACACCCATACAATGCGCACCACCCCGTGATGTTTTTCTCACTCCTACTAGTGAATGTAATGTAACACACACCCATACAATGCGCACCACACCGTGATGTTTTTCTCACTCCTACTAGTGAATCTAATGTAACACACACCCATACAATGTGCACCACCCCGTGATGTTTTTCTCACTCCTACTAGTCAATCTAATGTAACACACACCCATACAATGCGCACCACCCCGTGATGTTTTTCTCACTCCTACTAGTGAATGTAATGTAACACACACCCATACAATGCGCACCACACCGTGATGTTTTTCTCACTCCTACTAGTGAATCTAAGGTAACACACACCCGTACAATGCGCACTGCCCCGTGATGTTTTTCTCACTCCTACTAGTGAATGTAGTGTAACACACACCCATACAATGCGCACCGCCCCGTGATGTTTTTCTCATTCTTACTAGTGAATGTAATGTAACACACACCCATACAATCCGCACCACCCCGTGATGTTTTTCTCACTCCTACTAGTGAATGTAATGTAACACACACCCATACAATGCGCACCGCCCCGTGATGTTTTTCTCACTCCTACTAGTGAATGTAATGTAACACACACCCATACAATGCGCACCGCCCCGTGATGTTTTTCTCATTCTTACTAGTGAATCTAATGTAACACACACCCATACAATGCGCACCGCCCCGTGATGTTTTTCTCACTCCTACTAGTGAATGTAATGTAACACACACCCATACAATGCGCACCGCCCCGTGATGTTTTTCTCATTCTTACTAGTGAATCTAATGTAACACACACCCATACAATGCGCACCACCCCGTGATGTTTTTCTCACTCCTACTAGTGAATCTAATGTAACACACACCCATACAATGCGCACCTCCCCGTGATGTTTTTCTCACTCCTACTAGTGAATGTAATGTAACACACACCCATACAATGCGCACCACCCCGTGATGTTTTTCTCACTCCTACTAGTGAATCTAATGTAACACACACCCATACAATGCGCACCACCCCGTGATGTTTTTCTCACTCCTACTAGTGAATGTAATGTAACACACACCCATACAATGCGCACCACCCCGTGATGTTTTTCTCACTCCTACTAGTGAATGTAATGTAACACACACCCATACAATGCGCACCACACCGTGATGTTTTTCTCACTCCTACTAGTGAATCTAATGTAACACACACCCATACAATGCGCACCACCCCGTGATGTTTTTCTCACTCCTACTAGTGAATCTAATGTAACACACACAAATACAATGCGCACCACCTCGTGATGTTTTTCTCACTCCTACTAGTGAATATAATGTAAAACACACCCATACAATGCGCACCACCCCGTGATGTTTTTCTCACTCCTACTAGTTAATGTAATGTAACACACACCCATACAATGCGCACCACCCCGTGATGTTTTTCTCACTCCTACTAGTGAATGTAATCTAACACACACCCATACAATGCGCACCACCCCGTGATGTTTTTCTCACTCCTACTAGTGAATCTAATGTAACACACACCAATACAATGTGCACCACCCCGTGATGTTTTTCTCGCTCCTATTATTGAATGTAATGTAACACACACCCATACACTGCGCACCACCCCGTGATGTTTTTCTCACTCCTACTAGTGAATCTAATGTTACACACACCCATACAATGCGCACCACCCCGTGATGTTTTTCTCACTCCTACTAGTGAATGTAGTGTAACACACACCCATACAATGCGCACCGCCCCGTGATGTTTTTCTCATTCTTACTAGTGAATGTAATGTAACACACACCCATACAATCCGCACCACCCCGTGATGTTTTTCTCACTCCTACTAGTGAATGTAATGTAACACACACCCATACAATGCGCACCGCCCCGTGATGTTTTTCTCACTCCTACTAGTGAATGTAATGTAACACACACCCATACAATGCGCACCGCCCCGTGATGTTTTTCTCATTCTTACTAGTGAATCTAATGTAACACACACCCATACAATGCGCACCGCCCCGTGATGTTTTTCTCACTCCTACTAGTGAATGTAATGTAACACACACCCATACAATGCGCACCGCCCCGTGATGTTTTTCTCATTCTTACTAGTGAATCTAATGTAACACACACCCATACAATGCGCACCACCCCGTGATGTTTTTCTCACTCCTACTAGTGAATCTAATGTAACACACACCCATACAATGCGCACCTCCCCGTGATGTTTTTCTCACTCCTACTAGTGAATGTAATGTAACACACACCCATACAATGCGCACCACCCCGTGATGTTTTTCTCACTCCTACTAGTGAATCTAATGTAACACACACCCATACAATGCGCACCACCCCGTGATGTTTTTCTCACTCCTACTAGTGAATGTAATGTAACACACACCCATACAATGCGCACCACCCCGTGATGTTTTTCTCACTCCTACTAGTGAATGTAATGTAACACACACCCATACAATGCGCACCACACCGTGATGTTTTTCTCACTCCTACTAGTGAATCTAATGTAACACACACCCATACAATGCGCACCACCCCGTGATGTTTTTCTCACTCCTACTAGTGAATCTAATGTAACACACACAAATACAATGCGCACCACCTCGTGATGTTTTTCTCACTCCTACTAGTGAATATAATGTAAAACACACCCATACAATGCGCACCACCCCGTGATGTTTTTCTCACTCCTACTAGTTAATGTAATGTAACACACACCCATACAATGCGCACCACCCCGTGATGTTTTTCTCACTCCTACTAGTGAATGTAATCTAACACACACCCATACAATGCGCACCACCCCGTGATGTTTTTCTCACTCCTACTAGTGAATCTAATGTAACACACACCAATACAATGTGCACCACCCCGTGATGTTTTTCTCGCTCCTATTATTGAATGTAATGTAACACACACCCATACACTGCGCACCACCCCGTGATGTTTTTCTCACTCCTACTAGTGAATCTAATGTTACACACACCCATACAATGCGCACCACCCCGTGATGTTTTTCTCACTCCTACTAGTGAATGTAATGTAACACACACCCATACAATGCGCACCTCACCGTGATGTTTTTCTCACTCCTACTAGTGAATGTAATGTAACACACACCCATACAATGCGCACCACCCCGTGATGTTTTTCTCACTCCTACTAGTGAATGTAATGTAACACACACCCATACAATGCGCACCACACCGTGATGTTTTTCTCACTCCTACTAGTGAATCTAATGTAACACACACCCATACAATGCGCACCACCCCGTGATGTTTTTCTCACTCCTACTAGTGAATGTAATGTAACACACACCCATACAATGCGCACCACCCCGTGATGTTTTTCTCACTCCTACTAGTCAATCTAATGTAACACACACCCATACAATGCGCACCACCCCGTGATGTTTTTCTCACTCATACTAGTGAATGTAATGTAACACACACCCATACAATGCGCACCACCCCGTGATGTTTTTCTCATTCCTACTAGTGAATGTAATGTAACACACACCCATACAATGCGCACCACCCCGTGATGTTTTTCTCACTCCTACTAGTGAATGTAATGTAACACACACCCATACAATGCGCACCACCCCGTGATGTTTTTCTCACTCCTACTATTGAATGTAATGTAACACACACCCATACAATGCGCACCACCCCGTGATGTTTTTCTCACTCCTACTAGTGAATCTAATGTTACACACACCAATACAATGCGCACCACCCCGTGATGTTTTTCTCACTCCTACTAGTGAATGTAATGTAACACACACCCATACAATGCGCACCACCCCGTGATGTTTTTCTCACTCCTACTAGTGAATGTAATGTAACACACACCCATACAATGCGCACCACCCCGTGATGTTTTTCTCACTCCTACTAGTGAATGTAATGTAACACACACCCATACAATGCGCACTGTCGATGTCCGCTCCCGGCCGGCAGGAAAGACACACGACAAGGTCTGGCGGTGGTCAGGCTTTTCTTTATTCTCTCCTTATACAGTCTGCCCCGAAGCCTCTACCGGTCCGCTCTCCGCGGCTCCTTCCGTGCTTCAGTCTGCCCCGAAGCCTCTACCGGTCCGCTCCCCGCGGCTCCTTTTGTGCTTCAGTCTCTCTCTCTCTCTCGGGGGTGGAGGCACTGGCTATATATAGGATTAATAGCTAGGCAGACTACCCTGTGAGGCGGGAACTTAGTGGGGTGATAAGAAACAGGTGCCACACAGGCGGGCTCGATGAGAGGGGTAATCTAGCCCAGGCTTTTGTACTTTCCCACAGGCCTCGCAATCACCGCGTCTGATGACTTGACAGTGCCACGGCTCCCAACATCTCCCCCTATTTTATTTTAAATGATGGCTACGCGCATCGCAGCCCGTCCTGGATAGAGTGCAGAGGCCTATGCCCCGAACTGAGGCCCACCGTAGGCCCTTAGCGTAGACCCTGGTCGGCCGTCCCAGGGTCCACCAAGGCCCTGAGGCCCTCGTCCTTTTTTCTAGGGCCAGGAATGAACCGGACGGAACCTGGTTGCACATAGGCATGCACTCATTTCTCTCCACGAATCCCCTCGGAGAGAAATTTATCTAACAATCCAGCGGCTTTCGAGCGGAACGGGGTAGGGCCTGGCTTAGGTTGAGTCGTGCTGGGGAGGCACGCTCTTACCCGTCATTGACTCATCCACCCTGCTACATGTTGTTGTCTAGGGAGGAGAATGTGGGAAGCCTGTCACTTTTAAACGCGGTCGTAGGCCATGCGAGCGAGCCATGCGTATGCCTGAGGATCTTTTTGTCCATTTTGGGCTACCGCTATTTCTATTCATCTTGTTGGTTGGTCTGTGATGGATCTCCGGCAGGGCAGGTCTGATCTTCAGTCGAGGGCTTTGTCGCGTCAACCTCTCTGGGACCAACAGTGGTTTTCGTCCCGGTTCCTGCGGAAAGACACAAACCGCGCCTCGGCTTCCTCTTTTGTATCTCTGCCCTCCTTGACGGACCCTTCTCGGGAGCTTCCTCACTGTGCCTGTTCAAACACCTCGCGTACTTCTACAAGTTCTTGAGAGCTCCCCCCGTAACTACCCTCACTCTTTAGGCACGTGTGTATCATTTCCCACAATGGACGAGCAGAGACTGAAGCTCTACCCTCCCGCTCTGCTAGGGAAAGGTCTCTGCCCAACTTTTCCCAGGAGGGCAGGTTTACATGCCCTGTAGGCAGAAACCAGGGAGCAAAGCTGTCAATCTCTGCAAGGAAATTTTCTAAAGTCTTACGCCCCACCTTGAGGTCCTTGGACTTTAGGAGTCTCCGAAGGACCAACACCAAGGCTGTGTATCTTTACTTGGCATGTTTCCCATTTTTAATATATCTTCTGTTATTTTTACTTCTATGTTTATGTTTTACACTCTTTTATTACCTTAAGTTCTGGTGTTATGTTTCATACTCACCGCGTGAGGCCCAAGAAACCCGCCACTTACGCGTGAGGTTGAGAGGAGTCTACAAACCCTGTAGGTGCGCGCCACCCAGGGCCCAGGCTTATCCTCTACTCACCTGTCTTGCAGCACTGTACTGGAGCGTTGTCCACTTCACGTCTCGGGGGTGATCAGTCCCCGTGCGGGCCTCCAAATGTCGGTGTCCGCTCCCGGCCGGCAGGAAAGACACACGACAAGGTCTGGCGGTGGTCAGGCTTTTCTTTATTCTCTCCTTATACAGTCTGCCCCGAAGCCTCTACCGGTCCGCTCTCCGCGGCTCCTTCCGTGCTTCAGTCTGCCCCGAAGCCTCTACCGGTCCGCTCCCCGCGGCTCCTTTTGTGCTTCAGTCTCTCTCTCTCTCTCGGGGGTGGAGGCACTGGCTATATATAGGATTAATAGCTAGGCAGACTACCCTGTGAGGCGGGAACTTAGTGGGGTGATAAGAAACAGGTGCCACACAGGCGGGCTCGATGAGAGGGGTAATCTAGCCCAGGCTTTTGTACTTTCCCACAGGCCTCGCAATCACCGCGTCTGATGACTTGACAGTGCCACGGCTCCCAACAGCGCACCACACCGTGATGTTTTTCTCACTCCTACTAGTGAATGTAATGTAACACACACCCATACAATGCGCACCACCCCGTGATGTTTTTCTCACTCCTACTAGTGAATGAAATGTAACACACACCCATACAATGCGCACCACCCCGTGATGTTTTTCTCACTCCTACCAGTGAATCTAATGTAACACACACCCATACAATGCGCACCACCCCGTGATGTTTTTCTCACTCCTAGTAGTGAATGTAAGGTAACACACACCCATACAATGCGCACCACCCCGTGCTGTTTTTCTCACTCCTACTAGTGAATGTAATGTAACACCCACCCATACAATGCGCACCACCCCGTGATGTTTTTCTCTCTCCTACTAGTGAATGTAATGTAACACACACCCATACAATGCGCACCACCCCGTGATGTTTTTCTCACTCCTACTAGTGAATGTAATGTAACACACACCCATACAATGCGCACCACCCCGTGATGATTTTCTCACTCCTAGTAGTGAATGTATTGTAACACACACCCATACAATGCGCACCACCCCGTGATGTTTTTCTCACTCCTAGTAGTGAATGTAATGTAACACACACACATACAATGCGCACCACCCCGTGATGTTTTTCCTCACTCCTACTAGTGAATTTAATGTAACACACACCCATACAATGCGCACCACCCCGTGATGTTTTTCTCACTCCTACTAGTGAATCTAATGTAACACACACCCATACAATGCGCACCAAACCGTGATGTTTTTCTCACTCCTACTAGTGAATGTAATGTAACACACACCCATACAATGCGCACCACCCCGTGATGTTTTTCTCACTCCTACTAGTGAATGTAATGTAACACACACCCATACAATGCGCACCACCCCGTGATGTTTTTCTCACTCCTACTAGTGAATGAAATGTAACACACACCCATACAATGCGCACCACCCCGTGATGTTTTTCTCACTCCTACTAGTGAATCTAATGTAACACACACCCATACAATGCGCACCACCCCGTGATGTTTTTCTCACTCCTAGTAGTGAATGTAAGGTAACACACACCCATACAATGCGCACCACCCCGTGCTGTTTTTCTCACTCCTACTAGTGAATGTAATGTAACACCCACCCATACAATGCGCACCACCCCGTGATGTTTTTCTCACTCCTACTAGTGAATGTAATGTAACACACACCCATACAATGAGCACCACCCCGTGATGTTTTTCTCACTCCTACTAGTGAATGTAATGTAACACACACCCATACAATTCGCACCACCCCGTGATGATTTTCTCACTCCTAGTAGTGAATGTAATGTAACACACACACATACAATGCGCACCACCCCGTGATGTTTTTCCTCACTCCTACTAGTGAATCTAATGTAACACACACCCATACAATGCGCACCACCCCGTGATGTTTTTCTCACTCCTACTAGTGAATCTAATGTAACACACACCCATACAATGCGCACCAAACCGTGATGTTTTTCTCACTCCTACTAGTGAATGTAATGTAACACACACCCATACAATGCGCACCACCCCGTGATGTTTTTCTCACTCCTACTAGTGAATGTAATGTAACACACACCCATACAATGCGCACCACCCCGTGATGTTTTTCTCACTCCTACTAGTGAATCTAATGTAACACACACCCATACAATGCGCACCACCCCATGATATTTTTCTCACTCCTAGTAGTGAATGTAATGTAACACACACCCATACAATGCGCACCACCCCGTGATGTTTTTCTCACTCCTACTAGTGAATCTAATGTAACACACACCCATACAGTGCGCACCACCCCGTGATGTTTTTCTCACTCCTACTAGTGAATCTAATGTAACACACACCCATACAATGCGCCCCACCCCGTGATGTTTTTCTCACTCCTACTAGTGAATGTAATGTAACACAAACCCATAAAATGCGCACCACCCCGTGATGTTTTTCTCACTCCTACTAGTGAATGTAATGTAACACACACCCATACAATGCGCACCACCCTGTGATGTTTTTCTCACTCCTACTAGTGAATCTAATGTAACACACACACATACAATGCGCACCACCCCGTGATGTTTTTCTCACTGCTACTAGTGAATGTAATGTAACACACACCCAAACAATGCGCACCACCCCGTGATGTTTTTCTCACTCCTACTAGTGAATGTAATGTAACACACACCCATACAATGCGCACCACCCCGTGATGTTTTTCTCACTCCTACTAGTGAATGTAATGTAACACACACCCAAACAATGCGCACCACCCCGTGATGTATTTCTCACTCCTACTAGTGAATCTAGTGTAGCACACACTCATACAATGCGCACCACCCCGCGATGTTTTTCAGAAACCTATCCTACATTGCCACTGCATGTTCCCTGACCTCCCCATGCTGACCACCCCGCGGTGCTTTTCTCAATCATACATTGCCACTCACTGCCTATCCTAATTCTTACCCTCCGATTCACACCACCCCGTGATGTTTTTCTCACTCCTAGTAGTGAATGTAATGTAACGCACACCCATACAATGCGCACCACACCGTGATGTTTTTCTCACTCCTACTAGTGAATCTAATGTAACACACAACCATACAATGCGCACCACCCCGTGATGTTTTTCTCACTCCTACTAGTGAATGTAATGTAACACACACCCATACAATGCGCACCACACCGTGATGTTTTTCTCACTCCTACTAGTGAATGTAATGTAACACACACCCATACAATGCGCACCACCCCGTGATGTTTTTCTCACTCCTACTAGTGAATGTAATGTAACACACACCCATACAATGCGCACCACACCGTGATGTTTTTCTCACTCCTACTAGTCAATCTAATGTAACACACACCCATACAATGTGCACCACCCCGTGATGTTTTTCTCACTCCTACTAGTCAATCTAATGTAACACACACCCATACAATGCGCACCACCCCGTGATGTTATTCTCACTCCTACTAGTGAATGTAATGTAACACACACCCATACAATGCGCACCACACCGTGATGTTTTTCTCACTCCTACTAGTGAATCTAAGGTAACACACACCCATACAATGCGCACTGCCCCGTGATGTTTTTCTCACTCCTACTAGTGAATGTAGTGTAACACACACCCATACAATGCGCACCGCCCCGTGAAGTTTTTCTCATTCTTACTAGTGAATGTAATGTAACACACACCCATACAATCCGCACCACCCCGTGATGTTTTTCTCACTCCTACTAGTGAATGTAATGTAACACACACCCATACAATGCGCACCGCCCCGTGATGTTTTTCTCACTCCTACTAGTGAATGTAATGTAACACACACCCATACAATGCGCACCGCCCCGTGATGTTTTTCTCATTCTTACTAGTGAATCTAATGTAACACACACCCATACAATGCGCACCGCCCCGTGATGTTTTTCTCACTCCTACTAGTGAATGTAATGTAACACACACACCCATACAATGCGCACCGCCCCGTGATGTTTTTCTCATTCTTACTAGTGAATCTAATGTAACACACACCCATACAATGCGCACCACCCCGTGATGTTTTTCCCACTCCTACTAGTGAATGTAATGTAACACACACCCATACAATGCGCACCACACCGTGATGTTTTTCTCACTCCTACTAGTGAATGTAATGTAACACACACCCATACAATGCGCACCACCCCGTGATGATTTCTCACTCCTACTAGTGAATCTAATGTAACACACACCCATACAATGCGCACCACCCCATAATGTTTTTCTCACTCCTACTAGTGAATCTAATGTAACACACACCCATACAATGCGCACCTCCCCGTGATGTTTTTCTCACTCCTACTAGTGAATGTAATGTAACACACACCCATACAATGCGCACCACCCCGTGATGTTTTTCTCACTCCTACTAGTGAATCTAATGTAACACACACCCATACAATGCGCACCACCCCGTGATGTTTTTCTCACTCCTACTAGTGAATGTAATGTAACACACACCCATACAATGCGCACCACCCCGTGATGTTTTTCTCACTCCTACTAGTGAATGTAATGTAACACACACCCATACACTGCGCACCACACCGTGATGTTTTTCTCACTCCTACTAGTGAATCTAATGTAACACACACCCATACAATGCGCACCACCCCGTGATGTTTTTCTCACTCCTACTAGTGAATCTAATGTAACACACACAAATACAATGCGCACCACCTCGTGATGTTTTTCTCACTCCTACTAGTGAATGTAATGTAAAACACACCCATACAATGCGCACCACCCCGTGATGTTTTTCTCACTCCTACTAGTTAATGTAATGTAACACACACCCATACAATGCGCACCACCCCGTGATGTTTTTCTCACTCCTACTAGTGAATGTAATGTAACACACACCCATACAATGCGCACCACCCCGTGATGTTTTTCTCACTCCTACTAGTGAATCTAATGTAACACACACCCATACAATGTGCACCACCCCGTGATGTTTTTCTCACTCCTATTATTGAATGTAATGTAACACACACCCATACAATGCGCACCACCCCGTGATGTTTTTCTCACGCCTACTAGTGAATCTAATGTTACACACACCCATACAATGCGCACCGCCCCGTGATGTTTTTCTCACTCCTACTAGTGAATGTAATGTAACACACACCCATACAATGCGCACCACACCGTGATGTTTTTCTCACTCCTACTAGTGAATGTAATGTAACACACACCCATACAATGCGCACCACCCCGTGATGTTTTTCTCACTCCTACTAGTGAATGTAATGTAACACACACCCATACAATGCGCACCACACCGTGATGTTTTTCTCACTCCTACTAGTGAATCTAATGTAACACACACCCATACAATGCGCACCACCCCGTGATGTTTTTCTCACTCCTACTAGTGAATGTAATGTAACACACACCCATACAATGCGCACCACCCCGTGATGTTTTT